TTATCAAGAGTATTTATGTAAAAAATTGAGAATACTTCAGTAACAAAGTATCATTAGAGAAAACGAATTTTGTATAAATATTTATGAATTTTCAGACTAATTCGTCATGGATTGAATATATTGTTTCGTCACAAAGGTATTGTCAAATAAAAATTAACTATGCCTATTCTGATTTTTCTGACTATTTTAACTTAACAAATAAATTCAATAAGAATCATGGCAATCATAATTTGATTTGAATCGAAAGCAATAAGTTTTAGCTTTATCTCTTGTAATGTGTTACGCATCGATGAATTACAATTTTGTTTTTAAACTAACAATTCAGCTTCATTCAAATTAGAAGTCTAATTTGATTTGCGTGCGGTTTTAGAATTTGATCGAAATTCTGGTTTTATTCAAATATAGAGAAAACGTAAATTTTTAATCTTTTACACTATACCTTTGATGACTTCGTTTACCTCAATGCTTTAGAAGCGTTTTCGTTCTTTACGAGTCAGAAAAAACAGTGCTAGGCCAGTTGCCTATGATGTACCGTGCATTTGATAGACAAAAATAAGATCCATGGTCTTTAGAAAAAGCGGATGCTATTTTTAATTACGAGCAATCAATCTCCAACAAAAGAATTTTAAATTCAGTGGTATTATGAAGAGTACAATTCTTCCTAATTCGATGCTTTTCAAATCATTATTAAAAACCATGAAAAAACTAACTATTTCTAACTACTTTGATGTTTGACTTCGTAAGGATCGGAAATTCTTCTTGACTTTTAGTGTGAGTTTCGAACAATATCCTTAAATGTTATGGAGAATATAAACGGTTGACAAGAAAAGTCCAGAAAATTATATAATTTTAGCAAAAATAAACATATTTCAATTAGCTGGAAATTTCGAGAAAATAGACTTTGTGATCATAAAATGGTCAAACTAATTTAATAATGAATTGATATGCATTTTAATGGCCACTTTAGCATTATTCACCTTTAAAATTGCATTTTAATGGTTAAAATGGTCTAGCTACGGAAAATAATTCATTTTAATGACCATTTTCCCATTATTCTTTTGACTGGGATGCAGAGTTTGGCTGCTCTAGCTCTTTCAGGGACTGAATGCATAAAGAACAAACATACAAAGAAACAAACGAACTTTCTTCTTTATATATTAGATATAGCGATCGTGTTTCAAACAAAGTGATCTCTGTTATCGGCACCGCCTAATACCTTCTAAATAACTTAGAAAAGTCACTTTGAAAATCACTCTGATAAATCCTTTTGATAAAAGCTTTGAATCATTTCTACATTAGTTTGGAGTTAAAAAAGCTTCTTTGTAAAAGTTGTCATCGTTTTGAAACATTTCCGTTGAAAACTTCATTAGAAGAATAGTATCGAGCTTAATTGACTTCAGATTCCTAATGTCCTACCTCCGATCATCCAGTGATATTCGTTTTCTCAAAAACTCGATTCCTATTGGTTTCTGTTCAATCAATAGGATTTCGAGGCGAATGGACTCCAGATTTGAACTCACCGCCTCTAAAAACCTCTGCCTGACTGTGTTCGTGAAAACGTAATTTTCATTAGCTCGTTTCTTAGCAACTGAATTCCTATTGGTTTCCGACCAACCAATAAGATTTCAAGGCAACTGGGCGCCAGATTCGAACTCACCGCATCTAAAAGCTCCTATCTCATCGTTTTCCCGAAAGTGTACATGTTTTTCTCTGTTTTCTTTGCAGCTGGATTCCAATTGGTAATCAGCCAATCAATTAGATTTCGAGGCAAATGGATCCCAGATTCAAGCTCAGCACCCTCGAAAACCCCTAGGTACATGTTTTGTGCTTGCTCACAATGCGCTGCTCAGTAGTTCTCCGATACTACCGAATGCTGCAATCTCATTGGTCAGATACATAGGCGGGCCTGTTGCAGGCGGAGGACCGATGTTTTTTCGACAAAAAGTAGTCGTTGACCTCCTCCTAGATGAGAGGATGGTCCCTGAAAAGTTTCGTTGCATTTACTCGTACCGTGTCCAAATGCATGAAGAACAAACAGACAAACAAACTTTCTTCTTTATATATGTAGATTAGAGCATCTTCGGTTTTCACAACCTGGGTGGACTGTCACTTGACTTTTCCGCGGTCGTGCATGACATTGCAAAAATCAGATTAAATTCTCCAAAATTTCTGAGAAATTAGAAAATTTTCTGCAGTTTTTCAAAAAACGGGTGGTGGGAGATTTCCCACTCCACTCCTCGGGCGCGTTGACACCCTCTTGACCCTCTCCTGGACCTAAGGATATGCCATGGAAAGTTTGGTGACGTTAACTCTTGCAAGAATGGAATCCATAAAGAACAGACAAGCATTCTTCTTTATATATACATATATAGATAGATGTGATATCAATCTATTCATTGTCGAATCTTATTGATTCGTACAAAAACAATTCGATATTCTAAATCATGAAAAATACAAAAGTTTATTTTAGACAAAGAACTTTTCTTCTAGAATTTTTTATAATCGTGGTGAAAAATCAATTATATTGAATTTATTTCATAAAGTTTTAATTGATAATAAACGAAATAAATCGTTATAATCAATGGAATTTTCATTTATTCGATTATTTATCTTAATTGAAATCGATTTTTATCCAATTTTTTAAGATGAGTAGCAAAAAGACAAAAAAAAACATTTATTTATTTTTCTTGTTTTTCGTGCTTAAATATTTTGAATAAGTTCATGTTAAAGATATATATTTGCCAAGTCACCGATAAAATATTCCCAAGTGATATTATGTTTCCTATTTGATTTGATGAAAGAGTGGTATTTATCCCATATATAATCTCAGTATAGATTGAAATTTATCCCACATCGTATAAACTGGCATACATTATGCTTGAATGGGATATTTTCCTGTAATGTATATTCGTCATAGAGATAAAACACGTCATCTGTCAACATCTATTATTGAATGGGTATCACCCATCAACGATAGTATATACATATCACTATATCGACATTATGAAAAAGATTATCACAGATTTTCCCACATAAAATTAAAATGGGATAAATTCGTTTATGAATGAGATTCACACGAAAAGGGAAAAAATTTGTCATTTATTGAGAATATATATATGATGGATTTCATTATTCATTTAATATAATCAAAGTTTTACGAAGTATTTAACATAAGTATAGGTCAAACCAAGGATACAACAATCAATGAATATGGTAAGTTATTGCATTTATTTTATCCCAATGGATAGATTATTAAATGAATAATATCACTAAATAATCCAGAAAGGCACATGTTCACCTACAATGTAAACATGCTAAATATTCAACTTTCGATAAGAGTAAATCAATTAATATCTTTGTGTTAAAACATGTCTTTATTAATGTCACGCGCGATTTAAAATGTATAACATAATTATTAACTATCTTCTAAATAATGGTTTTTTTTTATTGATTCAATCTCTATGATAACACATCAATAATCTTTATTGTTTAGAATATAAACGATCATAATCAATCGTACTATAATCAAAACGCTTTTTTTTCTATTACTTTCTATTAATACCAAAATTTAATGTATTGTTTTATCTTAAAAGGAAAGAAGAGTAAAAACTAAACAAATGCTCACTGTGACTTTCGTTGTAATGAAACTCTACCGAATTTATTTAATAAGTTAACATATAGAATAACGCCTGGGCCGAAAGTTTCTAGACAAAATGTTTGTTCATTTTTGACCCGCTTAGAAGTATTTCCTACGAGTCCGAATCTATGCGTTAGAACTAGCATTGTATACTCTTTCTGAATATGGGCTTAGAAATTCTGCCTCAGTTTTTTCTCAAGAGTAGTGAAGTAATCTTTGAAAGGCCCGAAAAATTAGTTTGGACGGAATTTTTTCTGCACATTTTTGTATTTTCACTATTATGGTCTGAAACTAAAAGTTGGTACCTTTATTAATATGCCAGCTTGTAGAGCAAAATCTACCCTACAAAATATTCTATTTGAATCTTTTGTGTTCCAACAAGACTTCTGAATTTTCGTTTTTCCTAAATTCTCATTTTTGAAAAATCGATTTTTTCACCAAACAGCTTTTTACGCGGAAAGAAGCTGTTGGAAAAATGTGTATAGCTTCCCTTTAGTAAAAGCTACAGTTTAGTTCAATATCACATTTTGTAGAGAATTGTTCGCTCTACAAAACTACCGAATCCGACAAATTTTAGCATCTTCGCAAAGGGACTTATAGGGGTTAGAAAAGGTCTATTTGTTCGCTGTCCAAACTAATTTTTAGGCCTTTCAAAGATTATCTCACTACTCTCGAACAAAAACTGACACAAAATTTCTAAGTCCATATTCGGAAAGAGTAAACAATGCTAGTTCTAATGCATAGATTTGGACTCGTAGGAAATACTTCTAAACCGGTCAAAAATTAACAAACATTTTGTCTAAAAACTTTCGGCCCAGGCGTTATATATTCATCTAAGGATCTTTAGTCTAACAATTATTAAAATGCTGATCACACCACGAATTGTAACTTAATGCGAGTGTCCAGTTAGATAGAAGAATTCATCTACTTTTATTAAATAGTCTCATCTATACAGCAGAAAATTATGGATGTTTTCTTTTTTAATTAAAAAATATAGATAATGATGATAATTTACTTGAGACTAATATAATTGTGTGATCTGTTTCTGAGACATTCGATTGGAAAAATGAGCAAAACAAAATCAGATTTTTCTAGAGAATTTAACGATAAAACTTTTTAAAAAACAGATTTAAGTCTTGTGTGTTGATAACTGACTGAAATACTCATAGAACATTGATAATAGAATTTGAATAGAACTCTTTGTCATTATTTTTCGAGATACATAATTACAATTAATATCGTTTATAACGCATCTTTACGACGATCGTGATTAAATTAAACAAGAATTTACAAAAAAAGACATTTTTTTCTTTGAAAATTCTCTGTATATTTAAAGTGAATTGTAGAGATATAATATTTAAATATGGAATTATCGTTAAAAAATGTTGGTGTTGAATCTGAATGTGGAAAACTTGATATTGTTATAATGCATCGACCAGGTGATGAACTTCTTCGTCTTAATAATGATAACATTGAAACACTCCTTTTCGATAATATTCCTAATTTGAATGAAAGTCAACAATCACACGATATATTTACAAAATATTTACGTGATAATGGAACACATGTTTTATACATAAGAGAACTGCTTGAAGAAACTCTAGTTTCTAGTAAACAAGCTTGTCAAACATTGATTGATGGAATTGTTGCTCATTCTTCTTTAAACTATTCTTATCAATCATCACAAGCAAAATTGTTTCTTTATCAATGGTTATATGAACGAACACCTGTTCAACTCGTCGATGACATAATTCGTGGTGTTACTTGTTCACTAAATCAATTAGGAATATCAAAGTCTGCTAAAACTCTTCTAAAAATATGTGATAAAAGTATAAATGAATTTATTATACCACCATTACCTAATTTATTATTTACTCGTGATGCTTTTTCTATAATTGAAAAAAATGTTTTTATTTGGAAAATGGCTAAACACGCTAGACAAAATGAACCATTAATATATCGTGTTATATTCAAATATCATCCTTATCTATCAATATCAGATCTAAATTTAATTGAGTGGGAAAATCAATGTTATAATGATGAAAAAGTGTCTGCTGAAGGTGGTGACATAGCTTATCTTGGTAATGGTATTTTACTTATTGGTTGTAGTGAAAGAACAAATCGAGCAGGTATTGAATCAATTGCTCTCACTGATATATTTCAGCGTATCATTGTTGTCACTTTACCTGCACAAAGAGAATTTATGCATCTCGATACTATTATCAGTTCGATAAATCCTCATGCATTTACATTGCATAGTGCATTAAACAATTCTATGCAAGTTTTTACTGTTGAAATTAAAGATAAGAATAACAAATTTGTTGAAAAACCAAAATGGATTTCACATGGATTTGATGTTCGTCAATCTCTTCGATATCTTCTCAACAAACCAGATCTAATATTTTATGATGCTTTAGATAAAATAACATCTGTTAAAGAACAACGTGATTGTTGTTTAAATGTTTTATCAATCGACGAATATCATATAGTCACCTATGCGGATGGAGATTCTAATAGAGGTATTGTAGCAGCAATTAAACACAATGATACAACATGTAAAATAGGATTAATTCCTACGAAAGGTCTCTTAGAAGGAGGTGGTGGGACACACTGCATGACCAATGCTTTACGTCGACACCGATCTTTAAAATATTAATTTTTTATAATAGTTTTACACAAAATGATTCTGTTTCAAAATTGAATTTGTGTTTGTGAAGTTTATTAAATTTTTTTTGTTACACAATTAATTAATGATATTGATACAAATAAAGTCAGACATTGTTATTATCAATCAAACGTGATCAGTCGTTCTGTGATAAAACAAAGCTTCGTGTTCCTCTTCACAGTCAGAAACTAGAAGAGATCGATACAATATTGAATGGATGATTCGATCTATGGAAGACATTGAGAAGTCTATCACAACAAGTTTTTTAGTTGAAAAAAAGTTGAATTTAAATAATATTCCGTTTATTTTTTTTGTTGAAAATTTCAATAAATAAGATAAATCTTAGATGTAATGATAGTTGAATACTTTGCAATTAGTTAAATGAATTTGTTTTATTTTGATCAATCGTAAACAATCGAATTATCTTCTGTACAAATATCGATGGAGTCAGTATAGATTATTCATATCGCAACCATCGATTTAATTAAATTGATATTTGAGAATATTTAAAAAATGTCTTATCTACTGATATTGGCACAGAAACTTTGGAAAAAATCGTCGATGAAAGAGAGAAAATGACAAATACTTAGGGGCATACCAAAAGTAGCGAGAGCAACACTTTAATACCGTGTAGTAAACTTAAAGAAACTTTCTTTCTATATACTCTGATAGAGAAAAAAAGCTCTATCTTTCTATGCTATTTGATCATGCTTCAACTAATATCATAAAAATAAAATTTCAATAAGATCTGTCTTTCTATCATATGTGACGGTTACACCAATTCGAGTGTATATTTTTCGAATAACTTTTGATAGAAACAAGATAGAGAGCTGCGCTTTTCACCGTTGGAAAGCTGAGATGAAGAAGCATCGAATTGCATATTATAATATTTCCTAGACGTTATCTAAAATTTCTGCAACCAATTTTCTAAGTATGCAAAAACAAATGATTTTTTTATTTCTTGACAGAAATTGCTAGTAAAATCACTGGGAGCCTTGACTGTGACGTCTATAACTTCTGAATGATTAATTCGAAATATTCGAACCTTCTGCAGTTTTGTAGATCTTTCGCCAGCAGTTTCAATACAACCTGAAAATTGAGAATTTACTGTAAACACCTCATGAGTAGGTTTGTTTTCAAAAGAGGTTGATTGAAAACCTTTAAAAAGCCATGTCAAGAAGTCTATAATATCAGATTCGATGCATCTTCATTTCCTCCTTCAAACGGTGAAAATCGCAGCTCTCTGTCTTATTTGTATCAAAAGTTATTCAAAAAGTATTCACTGAATAGACATTAGTATAACCGTCACATATGATAGAAAAACAGATCTTATTGAAATTTTAATATTATGATATTAGTTCAAGTATAATCAAATAGCATAGAAAGATAGACCTTTTTTTGTGTACTCAAAAAGTGAGTGCACTCTAGAATCGGTCAGTGTGTCCGGCCGTTTACACGATAACTTTCGAAAGGAAAGTTAGATCGCGATAAAATTTTTTGCGCAGTTTAGCTTCAACAATATCTCGGTCGAGTTCGAAGATGAGAATGATTGGCCGAGCCGTTCCTGAGTTATTGCAAAAATAGTCATTTTTCCATTTGCCTTCCTATGCGAAAATCGACCCCTTCCCGCTTTCGCGAACAACTTTTCCTATCATAGTCAAATAAAACCCCAACTATTATATACTATTTGATAGAGAATTTCACGAGCTACAAAATGGTATATAAAACATAAAGAAATCAGAAGGCTAACCCACCTAATGCAAAGATAATTAAACGGAAATTGGTTCTGTTTTTGTCCATGCTCTGATTGATTCACAATTAGAACTCTATCTTTCGATCACAGAGATGGTACTTCGAGGTTTTCTGGGTGGAGAACTCGAATCTGTACTCCACTTGCCTCGAAGTACCATTGGTTAAGCATGAATCAATAGAAATCAAGTTATAGGAAAAGGACTTTTTAGGGCAAATCAAGGCGAAGAATTCAAATCTGAGCTGCATTCGCTCCTAAATCCTATTGGTTGGGCAGTAGCCAATAGAATTCAAGTGTTTAGAGAAAAGGTTTGCCAGGATAATTTTGATGCTCACACATTCTAGGATGATTCATCTGTCTAATTCACTTTTTGAAGTACACATAACTCTCGGATTTAAATCCGAGGTTTCTACATTTATTTCTCTATCCGACTATATGGAAAGAAAGCTTCTTTAAGTTTACTATACGGTATTAAAGTGTTACTCTCGCTACTTTTGGTATGCCCTAAGTATATTTAGTAATATTTGTGTAAAAAATTGTTTTTTTATTGTATTGTAAAAACTAAATATATTAGTTATGAGATAAGTAAATGTTTTATTAATTCTAATAGGATTTTTTAAAAATAAAATGCAAGAACAAGAATAATGTTTTAATTTTGATGTGATGACGTGCTTTATTTAATTATTATATAAGAAGATACTTTCTAATAAGAAACTTCGTTAGTTTATATCAAATTTCGTTCGTTTGAAAAACTTCTGACTTGCAAGTGTTAAAAACTGAAATTTTGCTTTATGAATAAGAGATGACTAATATTGCATGAATATTTCTCTTTGAGAAATATCAAATAAAGATTCTGTTTTTGTTTAACTGTTGAATCTTGATCAATCACAGAATATTTTCGTGATTATGGAACAAATGAGATTTCGTTTGATTCTTCATGCAAAATGAACCGAATCGATGATCCATGTTCTTGTGCAAATAAAGATATGAAGGTGATAAGAGAATTCTTTCTGAATTTCATCAGTGTTTGTAAATTACATATTGTTTTGAACGGTGGACCCAGGCCAAAGATGTACGACGGGAAACGGCCGGATCACATGAAATTCTGGCCAATTCCTGGAAGCAGTGTTCCCAAATTGGATCCGGCATCCGGATCCTGCTTAGTTCCCGCTCATTCCTACCCCCGGGTGCGATCTTCGGATACGGCTGTCGTTTCCGATGCGGTTCCCGACTAAGTTTCCTGTTCTTAAGCACTTTAACCGCATCTGAGTCGTATACCTGCCGTTTTCGGTACGGTTCCAAACTACAGTTTCGAGGTTTCGTTCCGATCACAGGATCCGGTTATATCCCACCTCTTTCCGTTTCGTTGACAAAGCCCATATCCGACCTTTCAAAAGACCTCTGAAAGATTTTTCAAAGATCATTCAAAGACTGTGAAAGATCTTTCAAACACTTTGAGACATCTTTCAAAACTCTTTCGAACACTTTGAAAGGTCTCTCAAACATCTTCAGAAGAGATCCTAAGACTTTGGTAGTTCTGTCAAACGTATTTGGAAGACTTCCTGAGACTCTGAAAGATCTTTCAACGACCTTCAAACGTCTTTCTGAAACTGCGTCAGAGATTAAAAGATCTTTGAAAACCTTTTCGAAAATTTTAACACATCTTTCAAATATCTTTATGAGACTGTAAAATCTTTCTAAGACTTTCAAGGATCTTTCCAACACATTGAAAAATCTTTGAAACAACTCTCAAAGGTCTTTCTACGACTTTCAAACATCTTTCCAATACTTCGAAACATGTTTCGAAGACTTCCTGACACTTTGATAAGATGTTTCAACGACCTTCAAAAATGTCTCTGAAACTTTCAGAGACATTCTCAGACATTGAAAGATCTTTCAAAGGCTTTTCCAAAACTTTAAAAGATTTCTCAACGACCTTTAAACATCTTTCTACGACTTTCAAGCATCTTTCGAATACATCGAAACATATTTCAAACAACTTTCGAACACT